ACACACACACACACATACACACTCAAATACATACACACGTACACATTCCCTCTATCTCCGTATGTCCACCCCTTTGACTGTCTCTCTCTCTCTCTCTGTGTACGCCCCTCCCCCCTATATCCCCCCTCTTCTCTCTCTCTCTCTCTCTCTCTCTCTCTCTCTCTCTCTCTCTCTCTCTCTCTCTCTCTCTCTCTCTCTCTCTCTCTCTCTCCTTTTGTTCTTTTCCCCGACTTTCTTCCTTTCTCGTGGGTGGTTGGCGGGTGCTCTGGTGTGGTTTGCTTCTTCTTTCCTATCTAACATCTATCGTCCTTATATCCCCTCCTTCTTTTTTGTGTTTGTTACTCTCTTGTAACACCTCTAATCTTCGGCACTAATATGATCTTATTGTGTTGCAAGTACCGTAAAACTCTTACTTAAACTAAAAAAACCCAACATCCTTTCTCTCTCTCTTTTTACTTATCTTCTTTCGTCTATCCCCCCTCGCCCCTAAAGCGTAGAATGCAAACTCAGCACATATCCTAAAGCTTCAAAAAGTTTTAACCCTTCACATTCATTGCTGCTAGATCTGCTCTATAGTTTTACTTAAAAGAAGAGGCAGCGTCGGGCCTGGAGGTAATGGGTTAATAACATGGGATGCATAAAGAGCAATATGCTGTGCTCGCAAATCACTAATGCGCATCTGCATGTTTTGTTGTTGTATTTATGCCATTGTCATGCTGTGGCAGGCAACTACATTTTATTTCCTTGAGTTGAGCTGATTTCCTTCACTATGTGATCTGTGGGTGTAATATTTGAGGGGGGCAAAGTTGCTTGGAATGTTGTTTGGCTTGGGCTGTCTAGGTGTATTTAATGTCTTTGTGAAAGTATCTGGGGGGCATAAGTCCGAGTCTTGATTTTTAGCCATTTCAAATTTTAAATAATTAATTTAAATTGTTTTTTTTTTGGGGGGGGGGGGGTTGTTTCAGATGGGTTGAAAAACAAAATCAATCTGAAAAAGTCAACAACCTAAGTATCCTTTGCTGGGGGGTGTTGCTGTGTGGAATACTAATGACAACCTTACATTTGATGGACCCCTCCCCTCTGCCCAAAGTCCAAGAATTACAATTCGGTCATGCTCAAGAATGGGTTCTATAGCTTCTTTCAAGGCTGGTCGGTAACGAAAGGGACGAAAAGTGTGTTTGCATAACGCTTTGAAAATGCAGCCAACATACGTTTAGAAGCTAGTCTTGCTGGCCGTAGTGAGTCATTAAATGTTAATAGTTACGGTACACACA